CATCAAATCACATTATAAAATTAACAAATTTAAAATGCTACCTGTTTGATCCTCAGTTGAAATACATGTAACACAGACTCCAAATCCTATTATCAATTACTTAAATTACCATGCCCCCTCTCAGTGAGTTAGAATGCATACATATTTCAAATTTCAGCTCTTATACAATTCACTATACATACTCATCTAATTTTCTGTTCCAGAATGTTATCCTTTCCCTCATGGCATCTAATTTCATAAAGAACTTTCTCTCAAGATTTGACTCCTCACTGACTTCATCCGCGTTCTCACTATCATCAATTGATTTTTCCATTTCCAGCATTTTATTCTTAATAGATTTGTTGCTCTGTATTTGTCTTGATGTCTGTAGCAATGCAAGTTCACGTTCCAGCTGTAAAAAAAAAAAAACATTAGGATTCAAATGCAATAAGTGAAGATATGGTTGAAAAATACAGTATTTGTTTTTCCACAGAAGATAAGCCTTCTAGCTATATACAGTAAAACTCCAGTGGTCCGGCGCCATCTGGAACCCGGAACTGCTCCGGGCAGCTGGACAATTGGAGCTACTCTGCCCCCGGCTTCCCCAATTCAGCCGCTGCTGAAACAGACCAGCGGCTGACTCTGCGAAGTTGGGGGCAGAGAAGCTCTGCCCCAGGCTTCCCGGAGTCAGCCGCTGGTGAGTTTCAGCAGCGGCTGACTTGGGGACGCTTAGGTCAGAGCAGCTGGGGTGCTTCCGCATTGGTCCCGCAGCGCCAAGGGGCGCACTCCCCCCACTCTACCCCAGATACCTCATAGCCCCCTCCCATCTGACGTATCTGATAATCTGGTACCCCCTGGGCCCTAAAGGTGCCGGATTATCAGAAGTTTACTGTACTACAAAGTGACTGTGAAAATATTTACCAGAAAATTAATTTAATAAAGCAATAATTTTCTTTTTTTAATGGCATTAACATTTTCTTGTTTATTTAGTGAAATAATTCTGCAATTTGTAACAAGTTACTTGGAACAAGTAAAAACATGCATCGAACAAGGCTTCAGTAATAAGAGATCGTGCAAAGTTGAAACTCCCACTTATTCAGAACTAAATACATATCTGGCCTATAGTAAATTATATTATAATCAAGAATACAAGACAATGATTTCCTGATAAAAATTCAAATTTAAACACAGTAGTCTTCCTCCCTTTCTTGTTGGATATCTTCAGCTGTTATGGACCTTTATCCCCTTATATTGTCATGTCTATGAGGTTATGAAAAATATTTCATTTGAATTTGACACCCATGACCTAGAATTAGGAATGTTGAGGGCAGGCTCTGTACAATTTCCCCCACTTAGGACTTGAAACTGGAGTGTATAGAAAAGGTGGAGAGGGGATATGCTCAATAGGGGTACATGCAACAATTGCATGTTCTATTAAAAGATAAACCCACTCTTTACTTTGAGCTAATCTCTGCAACAACACACACCTTTTGTCATGGGCACTCAGCACTGAGAAGGATGTGGGTTGAAGACGTAAAACCATGCTCATTTTAGAGCAAAGGGGCCAACCTTAGCTCTAGTCTAATGAGGTGCCCAATACTTATTGGAGGGTGGGGGAAATCAGTACTTCAGCAGAAGTAAAGCTAGGGTTACACTGCTCCATTACTAACCAAGATGGCAAATAGCTCCACTTTGACCTGAGCATGCTCACTGACTTTTCCAATGCACCAGGCTGAAATCTTAGCCTTGTTGATTTCAATGAGGCCAGGTTTTCATCCCTCTCACTATCCCCCATCCACGATTGAACCCTTGGCACTACAATGCTGACATACAATTTCCTTGCCATTGCAATCCAGGAGGTCTTTAGAGCAGCACTACAACTGAGATTTAGGTAAAATCATCTTAAATGAAATTCATGCCTGTATTATGGTATGGCACATGTATCATGTAAGTAACAACTGAGTCCTCAACATAGGGTTTGAGTAAGAGGCTTTGTGCTGGCCCTCTGCAAAAGGAGGAATTTTACCTTTTGTGCAGAAATTAGTTGAAAAATTAAGGGTCCAAAAATTCTTTAGAAATGAAAACATTTCCCTCTTATTTTTAGCATTAATTTTAGCATTTTAGACTTAAATTGTGTAGTGATTTCATGTTGAGTTGGCGTTTTTATTTGAAAGGTTGCAAACACACTTTTATCATTCAAACCGCACTGCAGTAGAAACAGAGGACCACCTGCCACTGAGCATTATATACTGTAAACTGACCAGTGAATGCAACTATGTGATAGGAGATACCATACAGGTGCACTCATTCTGTGAACTAACTTATTATGTGGCAATGAGAGTGGGAGTTGTGTGTGGGGGTGGGTGGGTTGTTTTGGGAGGGGGGGGTCAACTTTTCAGTTCAATTAAAAAGAAGATAGGAATAAAAGCAAAAAATACTGAAATGAAACTTCTTGAAATTTTTGTTTCAGGACTAATGATTTCAGCATAGCATACTATCAGCGAAAAGAGACTGCTCATTTAATCACATTTTTGAAGAAGTACATTTCATTTTGCAACTTTTGGAGGACATGGGAACTTTTAGCTCACAATATTTTGGTAGACACCTGAAAGCTGGACAAGTTTACAACTAGGTCTACTACACATCTGGAAACAAGACGACAGGCTTACCACTCACCAACTAAGAATCTGATCCAAAGCCTGATGAAGTCACAGAAGACTTTCATGTCAAAATCATGCTGAACTTTTTGTGATACTATGAATATTTACACCAAGATTTTCAAACCTCATTGCCTGAAGTCAGGCTCATAAACCCACATTTAAAGGCCTAAATAAGTGCATTGACTTTCCAAAGTACTCAGCACCCTGTGAAGAGGTGTCCACCCCACACTGGCAAAGGGTTAAAAATGGCCCTAAGGAGGTTGCACAGAGTGCTGAGCACTATGGAAAATGGGTGCTGGGAGCAGCCAATCTGAGAGAGGTTGCCAGAAGCTGCCAATCAGGACCCAGCAGGTCTATATAAAAAGAGCTATGGGGCCTAAGGCAGTCAGTTGCTACTAGGAGCCCAAAGAAAAGAACTGGGTTCCTAGAGGCTGCAGGAGAGTAATACCTCAGACAGGGCAGCTGCTAGCAGGTACTAGGGGAGCTAGAGAGGTACCTCTTGGCTAGCTGCTGGGCCCTGAAGGCTTGAGGCCCTGAGAAGAGGGCAAAGAAAGTCTGGGAGCATGGGGAAGTGGCCCAGGAAATGCAAGCAGCACTGGTGAGAAGTTAAGGAGAGGCCGTAGGAGTTATAGGGACTCTGGGCTGCGAGCCAGAGTCGTGGGTGGGACTGGGTCCCCACCATTCACTAATTGAGATCTTCCCTCTCCCTAAAAGAAATCTGATGAGGTTCAACAAGGACAAGTGTAGAGACCTGCACTTGGGACGGAAGAATCCCAAGCATTGTTACAGGCTGGGGACCGAATGGCTAAGTAGCAGTTTGGCAGAAAAGGACCTGGGGATTACAGTGGATGAGAAGCTGGATATGAGTCAACAGTGTACCCTTGTAGCCAAGAATGCTAATGGAATATTAGGGTGCATTAGGAGGAGCATTGCCAGTGTAACCCACACATCTAGGCTGTGTCTACATTGACAAGATTTTGCGCAAAAGCAGCTGCTTTTGTGCAAAAACTTGCCATCTGTCTACACTGGCCGCGAGTTCTTGCGCAAGAACACTGACGTTCTAATGTAAGAAATCAGTGCTTCTTGTGCAAGAACTATGAGGCTCCTGCTCAGGAATAAGGCCTCTTGTGCAAGAGGCCAGTGTAGACAGGCAACATGAATTTTTTGCTCAAGAAAGCCCGATGGCTAAAATGGCCATCGGAGATTTCTTGCACAAGAGAGCATCTACCCTGGCACGGATGCTTTTGCGCAAAAGCACATGCCAGTGTAGATGCTCTCTTGCGCAAATACTTTAATGCAAAAACTCTTGTGTTAAAAGTATTTGCGCAAAATCTTGCCAATGTAGATGTAGCTAGTGTGGTTACTGAGCAATGCAAGTGGTACCGAGACCACAGCAACAGCTAACATCAAGAGACCTCTACAGCAGGGGCTGGGAGCCAGCTGGCTTTTAGCTCAGAGCGTAGAGGCTTCTCTACTCTGCTTCAGAGGTCCCAGGTTCAAATCCGCTTGGTGGCGGTTATACCGGCAGATCCAGAGAAGTGATTATTCGCCTTTATTCGGCTCTGGTGAGGCCACATCTGGAATAGTTTTCAGTTCTGGGCCCCCCACTATAGAAAGGATGTGGATGCATTGGAGAGGGTCCAGCAGAGGGCAACCAAAATGATTAAGGGGCTGGAGTGCATGACTTATGAGGAGAGGCTGAGGGATTTGGGTTTGTTTAATCGGGCAGAGGCGGGGGGGGGAAGATTTGATAGGAGCCTTCAACTTCCTGAAGGGAGGTTCCAAAAAGGATGGAGAAAGGCTGTTCTCATTAGTGACAGATGGCACAACAAGGAGCAATGGTCTCAAGTTACAGTAGGAGAGGTCTAGGTTGGATATTAGGAAAAACTATTTCACTAGGAGGGTGGTGAAGCACTGGAATGGCTTCCCTAGGGAGGTGGTGGAATCTCTATCCCTAGAGGTTTTTAAGTCTCAGCTTGACAAAGCCCTGGCTGGGTTGATTTAGTTGGGATTGGTCCTGCTTTGGGCAGGGGGCTGGGCTTGATGATCTCCTGAGGTCTCTTCCAGCTCTATGATTCTATAAAAAGGAGAAAACACAAATAGCAACATGGTCCAAGGATCGAATCAGGAAGAGGATGCTACAGTACTTGGGCTGAGGCAGATCTGCAGATGTTGATGGTGATGGGCGAGGTATCACCGAGAGAGGATGTGCCAGCTAGCAGAGCTAATCCCTGTGACCTCCAGCAGAAGGCATCGCACTGGTGAATGAATTCTGTGAACACCCACAATACTTTTAAAATCAGGTCATTTATTTAGGTTCCTAAATATTGATTTAAGAGCCTTGACTTTCAGCAAGAAGTGTGAAAATCTTCATCTAGGAAATTTACAAACTAGTCTATCATGTTTGATTACATCAGGCACATAACTCTTCTTCACTCTTTAGGTCTAGATTAAAGCTTCTAGGTTACTCCACCATGATAGCTGACTCAAGACTGCATGAAAAATAGCTAGAGGATCCAATTAACATTAACAACTTTAACCACTGACATATGAGAGAGTAAAAATAACCTTCCCCTTATTGCATTGTAAAAATAGCTCCTAAAAGTTACATTTCCATTAAACTGCACTATTCAGGAACAAGTCAGTCCTATGAGCATCAAAAATCCAGACAGTCTAACTATTCCTTTCTGTGCAATTTAAGAGTACAAATCCCTGATCAAAATACTAAAAACATTTAGATATATGTAAGAAGCAAAAAGTCTGGATTATTTTTAAATAGGCATATTTTAAAATAGCTAACTCATGGTACAAAGACTTATTATAAAGTAAAAAGAGTGTAGACTGCAAAAGAAAAATGTTTTACTGTTTAGGATTATCTGGGACAGGAACAAAATCTGTAACTCATTAACTTATTGCTTGTACTGTATTTAAAGAATAGGAAGATAACATTTTAGCCTTAAAATTAGAAACTGCAACTTGAGCACAGCCTGTTGAGGATTACTGAAACTGCAACACAAGTAATTGTTCTTAAATAGAGTTTAGGTATTTGAATAAACAACAGGGCCTTCTTACAGTAAGTTTTCCAATGAGTTAATCAACCAATCAGTCCCTAAGAACATTGGCTATATTCTGCACTCAGTCACACTGCCCAACCCAAATGGGTATTACTAAAGGCAGGATTTAGCCACATCTACTATATATTTGAGAGACTGTCTGTCCATCCATCGCATCTGATTATTCTAGAACTCCACCTAAATGGTAAGAGCTAGGACCATCAGTATACCACTTCCTCTTATCATTACTTAAAGCAAGGTATGGGTTTGGTTGTGCCAGGAAAACTGGATGTGCTTAGAATGGGACTTCTCATAAAATCATACATAAAAGAGACAATCATCAGGCAGGCAAAAGGGGCTGACTGGGTGCACATCCACACATACATCCAGGAGTGTCCCAGCCGCCCATCTCCCAGAGGTGCGTCTACACAGAAATTATTTTGGAATAATGGCCGTTACTCCAAAATAATTATGTGAGCTTCTACACAGCAATTCCATTATTTTGAAATAATTTCAAAATAACAAATGGCTTATTCTGAATTCTATAAACCACATTCTACTAAGAATAATGCCTATTCCAAAATAGCTATTTCGAAATAAGGAGTGTGTAGACGTTCAACTTCTGCTATTTTGAAACAGCCCCTTACCAGGGCCATTCTAAGTTATTCCTCCTGGGGCTTTAAATCGAGATAGCACATCTACATGGGAAGCCTGCCGAAGACTAATTTTGAGGCTTCCGTACAGTGGAGATGTGATATTTTGAAATAAACTATTTCAGAATAATTATTCTGGAATAGCTTATTCTGAAATAACTGTGCAGTGTCGACGTAGCCCAGGTGTCCTTTAGGGAGGGCAAAAGTGGAGTTGAAGCTTCCACCACCCCAATTCGTACGGGGACATAAGTGGTTGTTTCTCTTCATCGTGGAGCAAGGGGAAAGTGCACAGGTTGCTGCATTGCTCACTTTGCTTGTGGAGTGCAGGGGGCAGACTAATCTCTTCCTGCTCCAGCCAAGGTTATGCATTCCTCCCCCAGCTATGCCCATGGGTGCTACAGCAGCCATAAAGAGTTGCTTCTCACCTAGCCCCAGGCTTCTGTGCTGAGAGGGGGCTGGAATAATCCTTTCTCCCCAGAGTAGCCTGCATACTGAACCCCTCATTCCTAGCTCCACCCCAGAGTAATAATTTAAATGAAGCATGTATATTTTCAATGTATTTTCAAAAAACAAAAATTGAATTAAGGAACCGAGCAACGCCAATTAAATCTTCTAGTAAGCTTATAAAAGAATTTCTTCATCCTAAACCGTATCTCCTCCCACAATAGACATTAACATTTCTTACAAAGGATGCATATTTTTGTTGATGTTTAAAAGTATTTAAACTTACATGTTTCATGTTGCAGCTGAACAATTTTATGCGATCTTCTGGCAATTTCTGAAGTTTCCATTTTCTTTCTTTTAGCTTTTCAAGTTCCTCATTGAGCTGCCTATGAACACTCTTTACACGCATATTATAGTACATTATCTTTTTCATCACTGTAGCCTTCCAGTGTCAGGAAAACAGGACAAGTTATTTGCCAGAATAAAGTTAGCAAAATATGACTGTTACCACATGATGTTTTCTAGCAATTCAGCAAACTCGTGACATTACATTTTATATTTGATTGGCTCCTACAATTAACATTTTAAAATAATCATATCAGGTACTCGATTTTTATGGCATTGTAAGAGCTTCATTCATTTCATTTTGGGGAGGTTGTTTTCATTTTCTTTGTGATGTTCCCAGTGCACTTAAATGCAGTATTGTTTCAATCAGCACTGCCTTAATGAATGCACAGTAGGGAATCTTTAGTATGCACCAAAATAAATTACATGGACCAATTAATACACAGTATGTTTGTACATTTAAAAAATCACACCTGTAGCTCTCATTACTACTACACATGGGCATGCTCTTAGATACAATTCACTATTTCCAGGGTTTTTCCAATGTTTATTGGAAAAACACTGATTTAATTTTTGTAGTATCTGGGATGTTTCATCAGTATTTATTGGTTACAGCTGAAACATCAGAAGCCCTCGATATTGTATGCTGTTAGGTTAGCAGAGTTCAATTTTTACTTTCTTATGATTTCAATTGATTTGTAAGCATTTTTTCTATTTTTATCATTTTAAAGTTTCTCAGTTGCAGAAAATATGTGGGATAGACAATAGTGGAGGCCAGACAATTATTTAATGATTATATACACTGACATTCAAAGAGTGAAAGCTTTATAACCATTAAAACGCAAGTGCTCAACATCATGTCAAAATATACAAAAGAAATATCCTTAAATCGAACCCTAAGTTCCTTAAGCAGCATTTTACTTAATTTGTCTAGCTGTAATTCATCATTCTTATCAACAAAAATATTTTTCTCTCTCTGTGTGCTCGCGCGTGCTTTAACTGACATTTACCAATAAAAATCTAATCCTTCCTAGCCTATATATTGCTATTAGATGACTTGTCTTCAAGTTAAAACATTATAGTTGTTTAAGAATGGTTTTAAAAAATGAAAAATAAGAGGGTTTTTTGTCCATTTCTAAGGAGAGTTAAGCTCGACATATTTGATTTTTAAAACCACTTTACTTGGATAGGATCATAATCAGCAGTAGCTTCATAACAGGATGAGCCACATAGAAAGGGGAGGACAGAACTTAAGGATTTGCTAGAAAGACTATATGGAAACAGTATATGAAAACACTAATAAGCTTTTTTATTTTTAAAACAATGTCATGCTTGATTTTCAGTTCACCTTCTTGTAGTTATTGCTATTCTATGAACTGTAATCTGTTTACAGAATACAGATGATAAAGATTGCCTTTATAGAAGTATTAGATTCTTTAAATAATGAAAAAAATATATAAAAAGGACTTGCAATCAATTTTCAAAAGAAGGGAATGGCTTCTACCACTACAATAACATTGCCTCTCACCAACGAAGAAAGGTGGCCAATAATACAAACCTCAAGCATTCAAAAATCATGAGCTGGGCCTTCTAAAATCATGAGATTAACAGTAATAATAAAGACTGTCCTAATTTCTTTGCTTTCAGGTTCTGTTTGTTTAGGTTTTATGTTTTCATGCTTTTTCTCCTCATGTGTAGTAGAAACTTACTTTTAAAATTAATGCTGAGATTCTTTCATAATCATTCACTGGATATTGTGAGACTCATGGTAAAAATCTCAAAAGCTGGCAACACTGCATGGTATTCATTTTGATATGAACACCTCAATTTTGTTGGCTGAAAGACAGATCTTGGGCAGTGGAGGTGTATCATCAAAAACTAAGATAAACAGGAAAAGCGGTCACAAATATTGTTGGAATAGCCATGTGGTGAAAATTTTACCCTTACCTCTGCCAGGACCTTGATTTGTTTTTCAGACACATCATATGTATCCAGCCTTTGAAGCTGAGGCATATGATACAGCACATGTGTAGCATAATTACAGAGAAGACAAATGGGGTTGGGGTCATACTGAGGATCATTCAGACTCAAATCTTTTAAATGAGGTAGGCTTGCTAAATTAGTGAGTTCCTGGAAAAAACAATAAAAATGGTAAATCAATAACATATTGATGATCTTTATTTCAATAAGTCTGCAGTACAGCATGAAGGCAGGTCATTACTTTTAATTACTAAGAGGATATATGCAACAGCAGAGGGAGCAAAATCAGGCAGATCTGGGGTAGTATTAAAGGAGTATCTGTATTGTTCTCTTCTTCTCCCAGTCCCCAGAAAAGCAACCTTTCATGGACTTTATTGGGATCAAGCTCCATACAGTGGAGAGAGACAAATAGGAACTGAGGAGTGGTCACTCTCTGTGGCAGCATATTCCCCAAACTTGTGAATTGTAGCAGGCAGTAGTTAACCCTGTACCATTAACTTACCTGTTTTCCCCTTGGTGTTATGGTACCAATACTCCAAGGCCATTTTCAACTGGTTGCAGTGAATTTACATGTTACAGGGAGCTTAGGGTCTGACTACATAAGTTCAAAATCAGAGAGTTACTTGTCTTGTTGATGTCTGAATCCAAGCTACTGACCTGATAGCAAGCCCTTTTCAAGGTAGTGAAACAGACATCTGAGACCAAGAAAATCCAGAAAAAGAAAGTCAACCCAGGTATATCTTGTCAACCTGCTCAAGGCCAGGAAAGGAAAAGACAACGTCCTCATAGCCCTGTTCCCTCCCAAACCTGAACTTGGGCTGAACTATGTCCCAATGCCTAGAGGGAAGGATCTGCAACCCAATCGAGAGCAGTAAGTATACTAGTTATTTGAATCCTTCCCCTGAGGTGTGTTCAGTGGTACTGGGTGGACACACCTGATGTTTCATCATATAGACGCTGACTCCAGGCAGATGGTACATGAGAGCCTACAGCCACTCCCAAACAGAATGTGGGAGAGCCATGTTAGAACTAAGAATCGCTGAAGAATCACACAGTGAATGGGGAAGACCCATTGTGTTAATGCCCAAACAGAATAGGCTGATGTGGTTCTATATTGATTTCTGAAAGGTGAAAACAATTTTAAAGTTTGATATACGCCTCATGCTAGGGTTTGGCAAGGTGCTGCGAGGACTGGGGGCTGCTAAACATATAACTGCCCTTGACTTTATGAATGGATATTGGCAGATTCTCTTTTGACTTTATGAATGGATATTGGCAGATACTCTTAACAACTGAAATTAAAGAAAAAACACCTTCTCCACCACTTACAAACTCCATGGATTTACTACCACCTTTCAGCAGTTAATGGACAGAGTACTATGACCATATTGATTGTATGCTGTTGCCTAACTGACTGTATTGTCATCAACCGTATGAAGCATGTTATCTTGGTATTACAGGCTCTTAAGGGGTGGGGTTGATGGCCAACCCAGCTAACCGGCCACTCACCTATTTAGGGTCTACATGGGAAGGCATGCTTACAATCTATCATGGACAAGGTATAAGCCCTAGCGGGCAGCCGCATCCCCTCCACAAAGAAGTTCACTATTTCTTGGGATTAACGGGGTGCTAGCAGTGATTCATTTCAAACCTCACTACCTTTATTGCCCCTTTGATAGACCTGCTTAAAGACCTGAATGCAAAAGAGGCCACTGAACCAAAAAAATATGACAAAATATTTAGGGCACCGTAAGATCAGGTTATCTGGGAACAAGTGCTATTCCACTCAGATTTCTCAAAGGCATTTATCCTGCAAACAGACATGTCATGCTTGAAACTCAACTATCTTAAGATGGAGAGGAAGCTTAAAAGGGAACAACTCCTCTCAGAACAGGGAGTAAGTCAGACCTACCCTAAGAGCTCCTGAACAGCAGTGCCAAATAAATCTATCTATGAGAAAGAAGACAGCCTGTTAGGCCCAGTTGGAGCTGAAAGTTTAGTTGTCTTTTCTTTTGCTATCTTATATTGAACTTGGAGACACAGGGAGACAGATGGTAGGAAGTAACCTAGGAAGGCAGCATCGGGTGCATTCCAGAGTGTCCGACACTGTTGTCTCATAGGGCCCTGGATTGGAAGTCTGAGTGGAATACAAGAGCCTGGGTTCCCCTACCACTTGCCCTTTGTTGCAAGGAGCATAAATCTCAATTCCATTGCAACCCTCTTGAGTGAGGATAGGGTAAGAACACTGAAAATCCAGTAGTGAAGATCGGCTACATACAAGGGTTTGGAACTAGACTAAAAGCCCTTTCCACTGAGAAGGCTGGAAACTAGACTACCTGGCCCTCTGAGGACTATTACATATCCTTCCCCTCCATCATGTCCCTGTCCCAATCCTGTATCTTTCTCATCCCTAGCTCTTTGTTCCAGTCCCATTCTTCTCACCTATTAGTTTTATTCTCCACTCAGACTCCAATTTCCTCACACACCAGGCTCTCTTTCCTCCTCACACTGCCCTTCTCTTCTGGATGCGTATCCGTCTCTATCCCCACTCTTGATTCCAGTTCCTCATTTCACGAGGAGTAACGGTAGTTCGAACTAGGAAGCCTAGTTCGAACTACCTAGTTCGTGCCCCGTGTAGCCGCGTTGCACGGGGTTCGAACCAGCGGGGTTTTAAAAATGGTGGCTCCCCGCTTATGCAAATGAAGCCCGGGAAATTCAAATCCCGGGCTTCATTTGCAAGTGCGGTATGCCTACAATACCCCGCTAGTTCGAACTAGCGGAGTAGTGTAGACATACCCTCAGGCATTCTGCAGCAGCCTATCCCTGGGCAGGGTCCAGCTCAGAAGACACCCACAGTAACAAGTATTTCACTCTCACCCTTAAAGCTGCAAGCTAGTCTGTGCAACAGCACCACTCATCTACTCTCCCACTGCCTTGCAGTGTTACAGATACCCTAGATTTTCTTGCTGCCCTCAATTCTGCCCCAGTCCAAGCTATGTTCCAGCCCACTTCAGCCTTGTTTGGGCCCTATTTCAACCTTGCTCCAGCCCTGCACCTGCCTCTTGACCCTTGGACGGAGTCCAACCCAGCTTAAATCTTTAGCCTACTTCTGGACTCTGACTACAATCCTGATTAGGCTTGTCGGTGGATTCTGGTCCAGGACCTGGCTCTGGGACCAGTTTCAACACTGTCTTTGGCCTGGTCTCAGCTCTACATCTGGCTTTGACTCTTGGCTTGGTATCTGTCCTTGATCGTCACTCCAACCACAAGGACTGGTCAACTAGGATCCAGAGCCTGATTGCTTCTGAGACTGAGGTGATGATTAAAAGAACATAAAAATATAATGCAAAGCCTGGACATACCTTGAAGGAACGTATTCTATTACCAGAGAGGTTTAATCTTTCCAATTTTTCATTGGGATCAAAGCAAGTTCCTAAAATAAAACACAAAGGCAAACATAATTAAAGAGAACATGGTTGCACTTACTGTACTTGGCGAAGTACACATTTTCACCATAAATACAAGCTTTAGCCACAAAATAAAATTGCACACAATTCATTATTATAAGTAAATAGCTCTTATGCAAAGCAACCTTTTCTTTTTCTATGCAAAACCAAAGCGAACACGGAAAAGAATCTGAGAAAAATTAGCAGATTTATACATTTCTCTTTTGAAAAATGTAGTGCCCAATTTTACTCTCACTGAAGTCCTGATTCCCATATAGTGTACATTAAAGCCCATTTATACTACTCAGGAAGTGTAAAGAAGCCATGAAGTGGCTGCACACTAATTGATATCCATTTTAACACTGCTGAGACAGTGTTAAAGGGCTTTAATGTAAATGAATTAGGCCTGGAGAGTTTTGCCACTTGTTTCCATAGGAGTGGGAATGACCACACAGGGCTTGATCCTGTGCCATTCAAGTCATTAGGTGCTTGCCATGGATTTGAACTGGAGTGGAATCATGTAAATATACATTAGATTTTACAGCAAATAAGAATTAGTATGCAGAGATGCCAGGTTTCAAATAAATATCACCTACCAATTTTATTTATTAAGTTTCCAGCCAGATTGAGCTCCTTTAAATTCTGCAGAGTGTGCAATCCCTGTAAATATTTGAAAAGATAAAGCTTCAGTCTAATACAATATTACAAATGATGACGTTCCTATTAACTAAAAATCAGAAGGCAGATCATTCCAATTTAAGTTGGTAAGGGTCTGTCACATTTTTATTATTCAACAATCTTAACTTTTATTGTAAGCTTCATTTTGTTCTAGTGTGTAAATAGACAATGAATGCTGCTCAAAATGAATTAATTTGAAAAGCCTTGTAATTTATAATAAAATTAAAATAAACACAGTCTAGCAGCTCTTTAGCTTCACAACTTTTAATCAAAAACCTTACAAAACCATGCCCTGTGTCATGGGTAATCTAACTTTTAGCATCAGCCCACATCTCAGCACTGGGACACCACATTAGGATGCAATACTGATGTCAGTCATTTCTGTGTGTGATGAAGATCATAATATCCTGGGATGAGATTCCAGCATTACTTATTGTAACACATCTAATAATTTTGCTAATGTACCCTGTTTCTTTTCATTTTCTTCCTGAGCCCTACCTCTTCAGTCACGTCTTTCTCTCATTTTCCACAACACCAATCTTCCCTTCTTATTTTATCCTATCTCCACCCTTGTCACTCCCTGTGCCAATACTCTGCCACTGTCAACTCTCCAGTATACTATTTTCTACCTGTTCCCATAAGTCTTTCCTATTTCTCCATTAGTGCACCTGAATGGATTGGGTTTAAATTTACCAGAAAAGTGGGCTGCCTCAGACTCTCCAGACCAGCCCCATTCTTCTTCTTCTCTCACTAGGATTCAAACTTGTTTTCTTCCCACTCCTTATTCAATCTTCTATGCCCAGCATACTTAAGTATGTGTCAGCCTGACCAGTGAGTTGTGTGGTATGCTACCAATTTACTCCACCACCTCAGAATTTCTGTTTCCTGTAAAGCCCTATGAACATAGTATGCAGATTCCAAGGCTCCTGGTTTAATTAGCCCTTATAGATATTTTCCTCCTCTCTAATCCTTCTTCGTAGAATCTCCCTCCACCTGCTATTCCTCACACTCCAATAGGAAGATGGGGATGGAGGTGCAGCTGTTGTCTCACTGAAAGTGGAGAGAGGCAGGTGTGTCCTCTTCTGACAGAAGGGTGTATTTTATGCCCTTTCCTTCCCTTTACACACCACAGCTCCTCCTACAGCATTCTCTGACTGAAAGAGATCTCATTTGCTCTGTGATGAGCACTCCATCCCAAAGGTTAGCAGTGCACAGGCAACCATTTATTTTGTAGAACTTGTACATATGAGCTACTTTGACATGACAACAGGAGGAAAGGAAGCAGTAACTTCAAAATGTTCTTCTGATATTGCCAGCCAATAGCAAGGACCACAAGAAACACGGATGTGCTGAAGACTGCAAGTGCCCTTGGGTGAAGCCAAACGTTCTTATAAGTGAAAAAAGATGGAAGCTATTAAAAATTATCAGTTTGTTTCACTGAAAGTGGCTGCCCTTTGCTAACTAGAACTCTGACGTCTCAGAAGGGTAGCTATCTTAGTCTGGAACTTTAAAATCAACAAGTAGTCCTGCAGCACCTTAGAGACTAACAAAGGTATAGGACCATGAGCTTTCGTGGGTAAAACTCATAAATTGGCGTTAATCTGCTGAAGTGGGTTTTACCCACGAAAGCTCATGGTCCTATACCTTTGTAAGTCTCTCAGGGTATGTCTAGACTGCATCCCTCTGTTGGCAGAGGGATGCAGATTAGGCAGGTCGACATTAAATCCCTGCCTCATTTGCAAATATACCGTGCCTAATTTGCATAAAAATGGCCACCGCGTTTTGCCGACTCAGCATTTTGTCGGCAAAAAGTGGCAGCCTAGAGGGGGATCTGCCACGAAAGAAAGCCTCTCTCGACAGATCCCGTAAACCTCCTTGCAGGAAGCATAAGGGATCTGTCATTTCTCAACAGATCCCCCTCTAGACTGCTGCTTTTTGCCAACAAAGTGCTGAGTCTGCAAAACGCGGTGGCCATTTTTATGCAAATTAGGCATGTGATATTTAAATCCCTGCCTCATTTGCAACGTCGACCTGCCTAATCTGCATCACTCTGCCGACAGAGGGATGCAGTCTAGACATACCATAAGGTATCACAGGACTATTAAGTGTTTTTAGAACTCTAAGGGGTCCAATCTAACAAAACAAATTCATGACTGTTCAAGATGTTCAAATTCTAATTTCAGGAAACTATAGAGTGGATCAGAACATAACATAAGAATGTCAGAACATAAGAACGGCCGTACTGGGTCAGACCATAGGTCCATCTAGCCCAGTAGCCTGTCTGCCGATAGTGGCCAGCACCAGGTGCCCCAGAGAGGGGGAACCGAAGACAATGATCAGCGATTTGTCTCCTGCCATCTCTCTCCAGCCTCTGACAAACAGAGGCCAAGGACACCATTTGATCCCCTGGCTAATAGCCTTTTATGGACCTAACCTCCATGAAATTATCTAGCTTCTCTTTAAACTCTATTATAGTCCTAGCCTTCACAGCCTCCTCTGGCAAGGAGTTCCACAGGTTGACTACACGCTGTGTGAAGAAGAACTTTCTTTTATTAGTTTTAAACCTGCTACCCAGACAGCAAGGACCTCTACAAAAGAGATCTCTCCTCCAAAGTGCTGGGACAGGACAGGGCAAGGTGGTGGACAAGTTAGTCTCTCAGAGGTGCATTCTTGGGTGAACACAACACAGCTAATGAGATTCTAGGACAGGTAATTAAAGGCCAGAAGCCCAGCTGCCGAAGTGCAAGGATTGCTCTGAAATGCACATCCTTGTGAGAGGATAGACTCTTACGAAATGGGATTCACACAAGATCAAGTCAGTGAGATTGGAGAGTTACTGACAAGGGCTGAACATTTTAAAACAGGGGTTTAGACTCAACCTACTCAGGGAACTGGGGGGTGGGCGTGTTTCTGAACTAGAAATCAGCTAAGAACCCAGTGGAACAACAGAGCCGCTAATGGCCCTATAGGTTCCAGAGTTTACAGGGGTGTGTTAGAGGTCAGGAATGATGCAGGGTTTACACAGAAAACAAGATTTAAACTATCAAATTAAAAAACAGATCCTCCAAGGCTGATTCTCCGAGGCTGCTGAGACACAGCCAGCCCTGGGCACAATGACAGAAAATGAGGTTAACGAACTATTAGATAAGTACAGGCAGTCCCCGAGTTACGCGGATCCGACTTATGTAAGATCCGCACTTACGAACCGGGCATTTCTCGCCCCGGAGGATGCGGGCGGCGGGACTGCGGCACATCTGGGCAGTCCCGCCGCCTGCGTCCTCTGGGGCGAGAAAAGCCCCGTTTGTAACTACGGATCCGACTTAAGTCGGATCCGCGTAAGTCGGGGACTGCCTGTACTTCTGAGATAATTCTCTGAGACCCAGAACTATTTACCACATGAAGTAGTAATACCAGCACTAGTGCAGCGCTTTTGGGATTTTTTTTTTAAACTGGGAGAAGTTCTCAGAGGGCTGAGGAAGCAGAAGGCTTCGCCATAGAATCATCATTTGCGGAGAGATGTATTTTTGCTTAACGGGGTTCTTTAAATCTCTGACTAATGGCTTATTCCCCTGTATCTCAGCTATGATACAGTTTTAGGCAATGGGGTTTTTTTTGTTGTTGTTCTGTTTTTTACCTTTTTTACCAAAAAGGAAATTAAATTGCAAAAAGGGCATTGCATGACATAATTCTGAGGTCCTGACAAAAGCCGTACCTGAAATCACCGTAATATGCCCAAGAAATGAAGAGTTCCCAGAAAAGTGGGTGATTTTATTTATGTTATGTATATGCAGAATACCATAGCACATGCCATTAGTTCTTGATGATGTTTCAACCAAAACATTTCATGACTTTATGCTTAAAACAGACCTTTATGTGGTTTAACAGTCTTAAAAGGTAGCTTGGTTTATAAGTTGCATTCAGGTTCCATAGGATCCATGTGGCATAATCAGAATGGATTAGCAAGAAGGAAATCAAAGGGGAAAAAAGACTTACCTGTATCACCTTAATTTGGTTGTTATTCAACCAAATAACCTCCAGCTTTGTTAGCGCCTCCAGATTTTCAATTGTAGAAATTTCATTGTAATATAGGTACAGTTTTTCCAAATTTGTGCAGTATTGTAGACCATCAATTTTCTGCAGAGGAGGAAGATGTATTAGTTCTCAATGAACAAGGAAGAAAGGCACTCTGCTTGTCAATATACTGTATATGTACACAGAACACTAGACAGGAAGATGGCAAGTCAATTCCTGGAGGGCTTAACTCAATGCCCATTACATCAATGAAAAGGCTCCCCCTCAAGTGAGCTTTGGATACAGCCCACAAAGGAAAAGCAGTAGCTGCTGAAGAACTTCTTGATGAAAGTTGAAGTGGTTCTTTTAAAATGAAATAATTTTCTTTGTATCAGTTTCCTATAAAATGATTTGAACTCTGTACTGTCATTTTTTAAAAAGTTATTGTACAAACACTAACATGGGGTTCCACAACACAAGAATATGAAAATTATCAAAAGAAGTAACTTAGTCACATCTAAAACAGAATCTTTTCTGATCTAACAACCAATGTGATTACAAATAATAGGCCAGATTCTGAACCATTTTCTCACATTGAGTTGTACCTTACTCCTTGAGAAGGCAGATTGACACCAATGGAGCAATGTGCTATTCCCTGTGAGCATGTCTATACTAGCATGTAATTTTGAAATAACTCCCAAAATAACAATTTTGAAATAGCGTGTCTACACTACAGGGAAGCCTCGAAATTAGTCTGAGGCAGACTACTTTAATGTGGATGCACAACCTCAACTTAGAGCCCCAGGAAGCACTGTGAGTAATTATTTTGAATGGCTCTGGCAAGTAGTTATTTTGAAACAGCAGCAGTGGAGCATTGACACTACTGCTATTTCAAAATTACTATTTTGAAGTAAATGTTATTCCTTGCAGAAAGCAGGAGTTATTATTTAGAAATAACCACTCCTTATTTTGAAATAACAGGCTTGGTAGTATGGATGCTCCACTTGCTATTTTGAAATAAGGAGCATTATTTCAAAATAACTCCCTAGTGTAGACTAGAGCTGTAAGGAAATCAGAATCTGATCACTTACTTGAAAAGAAAAATCATAGAGTTAACTTACTGTTAAGCAACATTCAGCAATCCATAGGTTTTTGAGTAATGGACAATACTCCAGGTCTGAAATCTTGTGAATGCTTTGTCCAACAAGAGTGAGAGTTGTTAAATTTGGGAAAAATGACATGCCTACTATCTTGGGATAACCTGAGAAAAACATCTCCAGTGTTGATGTTTCTGGTCCCTCTTGATCAATTTTCTCATAATATAATCCATTACAAGTGCACTGCAAATAAAATACAACTATTTATTGCCCTTTTGTATGGTATGAACATTAGTTTCTATGGTATAAGAAATGCATTTTGCAGGAGAATGCCTAACTCCCATTGAAAGTCAATTGGAGATAAATGTTTAAATGTCATTAGTGCCCTTGAAAATTCCACCCCCATGCCCTTGTCTTCAAATATGTATGCCACTCTGTAATGTTTTTGAAAGCCACATCTGGGATACAGCATGTCCTCACTATAAGTCACCCTGGCATACATCTGTTCCACATTAAAGTTGTTGACGCTTGCGGGAACTGATGCATAGGATAAGTCACCCTGGCATACATCTGTTCCACATTAAAGTTGTTGACACTTGCGGGAACTGATGCATTGGAAATCCTCCCATTTCCCGCTCTTAAGTCACGTGGGGAAAAAAAAAAAAAAAAAGAAGCACAAATGCAGGAAAAAAATTCTCCGCTTTAAGTTGTTTCGCTATAAGTCCAAGTTTTTTGGAACATATATTGGATTTATAGCGAGGACGGCCTGTATTATGTTTAGTTAGGTTTCACTCACAAAAAAAAATTCAGTTCTAGCCTCAAAATACATCTATTTCATTATCAAAATACCTAATTGCATCCTGATGTAATTATAAAATGCATCAAAATCTATTTCCATTAAAACTATATGTACATGATAAAAGGAACAGTATGCTAGTGGATCAGTATGCTAATTTTTCACTTCTGGAGCACTTGGTTCAAATGAACTATAGGGTAAGTCTATACTGTATATTTCTTTCAGCAGCGTGTAGAGTACACACTTGGGTAACCTCCCTACTATGGATATAAACAGCAACATAGATAGGGAGGCACTTCTAAGGCAAGTAGAATAAAGACACACCTGATGGGTGTGGTGTTGTACATGAGCACATACCCTTTACATGGCTCTCTATTTGCCCAAGCCATGCCTCCCTGTCTACACAGCTGTTTTAGCAAAGTAGTGCCCTGCTGCTGCAACTTTTCTCTGCCACAGACAAATTTCTCCTGCTGCCATGAAGGACTCTGATAGCTCCCTACTGCAACCCTTCTCGACAACTGGAAAAAACTCAGGCTATAAGGGAAACTTTCACGGACACATATTTACATCGCAGCATGGACGCAGCTTGCTACAGGCCGTCTTCACTATAAGTCCAAGATACATTCCAAAAAACATGGACTTATAATGAAACAACAAAGCAGGGAATTTTTTTCCCCACATCTGACTTCCATTTGTGCAAATTGGGGTGTGGTTTTTTTTTGCATGACTTAAGAGCGGAGAATGGGAAGACGTCTAACGCATCAGTTCCTACAAACAGCAACCATTTTAATGTGGAATGGATGTATACCGGGGCAACTTATAGTGGGGATGCCCTGTATTCACTGCAGCATGTAGCTACGTATACCCTCCATGCCACCACCAGAATAGCCATAGTAAATACAGGTCTCTGTGGAAAAAAAAGGTAACATAACATTTCATTAAAATATTAAACATGGCAAAAAGTAAAACATGACTTTTCCAAAAAAGAATACTGTTAGGCCTCTTCCTTCAGTATCTACTAGGTAAAATCCCATTAATTTCACCAATGTCCTGATCCAGCTCAGTCAGTGGCAAAGCATCCATTGACTTTCCTGGTGCAAGACAGACTTTAAGAACTTGTCTTGAGTAAAGACTGCAGTTATTTTGTTTGACTATGTTATGTCCATATATTTGGATATCTCTGTACTATACTTCAAACAAAAAGGACAAAGGGAAAACTACCTTGAAATTCTGCTTCCCTGCAGATAACCTCTTACAAAACTCTCACTCATGGGACTTTTTTTCTTACATGGGACTAGCAGCCCACTATTCTTCGGTTTTTTGACCCTTGTAAACCCGTTGTCAATGTATGCCAAGTTCTGCCCTCTGAACAAACAGTCCATGAGTGAGAATTCTGCACTGAAAATATTAATAGTGATTGCTATTTTGAGAGTTTAAAAAAAATAAAAGCAAAAAACTTACCAACTCTTTAATTATTTCCTCTCGGTTCTGGTTTTGGTTATCACTTTGGATCATTGTCTGAGTATTTAAAAGTAATGATCATTGTAGAATATCTGCTTGAAAAAAAATGACAATTATCTGTTGAGTAGCCACCCCCATAATTTAGAAGCCTCAAATAAATTTGGGGAAAAAAAATCTCAGTTCCAAATAGATACAGTTCCAGTAGGCAAGTCTTTCATGGGATAACAGTTATGTTAAATGAAAGAAAATAAGCAATGTCCTGAATGTTTGGAATAATTACTTTTTTCATTTATATGCATAGATTTTGAAGTCAGAAGAGACTTCAAAATTTAAGGTTGATCATCTAATCTGACATCTTGTAAAACACAGATCAAAGAATTTCATCCAATTACCCCAATAATGAGCCTGATAACTCATGATATCTTCTAGAAAGGCATTCAGTCTTGACTGGAAGACATCAGGAGAGAATAGAATCCTCTACATCTCTTGCTAGTTTGTTCCAATGGATAATCACGCTCACTATTAAGAATTTGTGCTTTATTTTGCATTTGAACTTGCCTGATGTTAAGTTCCAGATATTGGTATTCATTGTGCCTTTCTCACCTAGTTTAAAGAGACCTTTACTAACTGGAGGAGTAGCTGAGTTAGTCATTTAAAGAGACCTTTACTAACTGGAGGGGTAGCTGAGTTAGTCTGTAAACATCCCCCAAAAATCGGGGGTCGTCTTATACGCCGGGTATAAACATACTGTAGCTTCGGCTACTGTGCACCCCGTCCCTGGGTGCGCCCGCGGACGACCCCGGCAGCGGGGGGAGGAAAGCAGGAGCCGGCTCGCTCCCCCGGCGGGGGGGGGCATGTGGCCGAGTCTGCCCGCCGCGTTTAAAAGGCGGCCGGACCAGCTGGTCAGAGGCGGAAGCGGCGGAGAGCGTGGGGCCGGCCGGGACATCCCCGGGAGCGACTGCAGACCGCG